GCTGTTGCTCACAGGTGTTGGCAGAAGTTTCTAATTATTCCTTATTCCAGAGGTACTGACCTCCCCCATTCCCTAACTTGAAGCCTTCCTCTTTTCTCCTGCAGATGAGAGAGCCTGTGTTTATTCTTTGTGTTGCCTTTAGTCTCCTGCTTTAGCAAGTGTGATGTTTCACATGGAACTTTTTGTATTTATTGTTTCCTTAAAAAAGTTCTTCCCTACAGTAATTATTTGCAGCTCTGTAGCCAGATACGAGACCTGCCTCACTCAGAATTTGGATTTAATATGAGTGTTGTTTGTTAGGTAATAAAATCCCACTTGGACAGGAGAGAGTGCTTAGGGCTCTTAATTGTTCTGACAGCAGACTGATTCACTGTCATTATTTATATGTTTATTTTCCTAACAAAGGGGTTGGAAGCCTCACTGGCAGCTCTGTGGGGATGGGAACTGCTCAGTGCAGAGCTACCAGAGGAGCTCTTGCTCTCTGGGATTTAGCTCATGTAATGTGCCGGCAAAGGACAGGGATGCCAAGATGTGCTTCATTTATGCAAATTGCTGACAGCAGCTCTGCTCTGGGTACTGTTTGTGCCTCCACTGAGCTCCTGTGCTGTCTCTTCCTGACAGGATGCAGAAGAGACCACCCCCCAAATCCCGGAGCAGGGCCCCTCCGATGAAGCGAAGAGAGTCCAAACCCAAGCCAAGGAAAACCCCCGCTGCCCGCCGGGACAAAGCAAAGCCCCCTCCCAAGGTCAAAACCCCTGCTAAGAAAGCCAAACCGGCAGCCCCAGCCATCAAGAAAACCTCCAGTGGCAGCTCTTCCAAGAAACCAGCAGCCAGTGGGAGGAAGGAAGTAAAACCCTCTGCCAAGGGCAAATCCACCATGAGGAAATCTCTCCGGGCAAAAAAGTAAAATGTTTCCAGTGTCAGGGAATTCCATGGTCAAATCCACAATCTTGTTTTATAAGTCAACGTGCATTTGTATTTTAGTTCTGATGCTTAAACACTTCTTTAATTTTTTAATTTTTTTTTTCTTGAATGATGGGGAAAAGCTGAAAACTAAATCAAACCAACCCAAGCATTCGTTAGATCTCGATGCTGTGCCTCGTGCCTGCCCCTCCCCTGGAACGAGTCATCTTTACTTTCTGCAATAATTTTAGGACTTTTCTAGGACGTCTCTAATCTGTACATTTATGGTGTTCCATGTGGGTTTCAGGGGGGGAGGGTTGGCTTTTAAAACAATTCTTCAAAGAAGACCTTTATATCTTTAGACAGCAGGAACAGGATGATTGGGGGAATGTGATTCTTTAATGAGAAGGTGCGGTGGCAGAGGAGTCCTCCCTAGATCCCTGCATGCTGAGGTCCTTGGCGCTTCCACGAGGGAGCCGTGTACATACAGCACTTGCACTGAGCCCCCCAGGTGCTGCTTTCCTCAGCCACAGGCCCAAGGGTGGCTGCTGAGTCAGATCCTCGGTGCCTCCTGGGGCTCTGGTGCCAGAGGGGCTCCAAAAGGGGCAGCTCTCGGTTAGGCGGGTGATTTGAATTAGTGTTTCCACACCACATTTGTTACCTTAAAACCAAAATATATTAAAGTCTTCTTGAATCCAACTTTCAAATGTTTTTAAGAGATGAAAAGCCTGGGTTTGTCACCTCTTGTTTACCCTTTTTTAAAGAGAAGTTGGAGAGCTATACAATTGCTAATGTAGAGATGTTAATAAGTGAAGAACATGCGGTTTGCTAAAATAAAATGAAACTAGATTCCAGGCCTGCCTTCTGAGTTCATTCTCTCCTTGCCCCAGCTTCTTCTGGAAAGGTAGAGAGGAGGGAATACAGTCACCACAGATTGCAGCAGAGGCAGATCTTTGTTCAAAGTCAGCGTGATTTAGCCTGAGCCACTGCCAAGCTCTGTAGCTGGACCAGCTCCTGACCTTTTTCTTCCCTGATTTCTCTGGAGATAAAGGTGAGTGAGAAAGAAAGCTCTGTTGGAACCTCTTGTTGGTCCTCTTCTCCCCTTGTCAGTGATCAGTGAGGACAAAAAAACCCAGCTGAAAACTCCCCCAGCCCTGCTCAACAGAGCAGCCCCTGCCTTCAGAGCACGTCTCACCATGTCCCTGCTCTGCCATGCCCAGGGCAGCGATGCCAATGGGACCTGACAGTCTCCAACGTGCTGCTGCAAAGAGTTGGGAGGAGGGGAATTACACAGAAAGGGAGAAAAAAGCTTCATTGAATTTATTCTTTTCAGCTGCTGTGTGCTACCTCTAACTGGGAGTTAAAAAATTCCTATAGAAATGGCCTGAATTGTTCCCAACCCTGTAAGAAGGGTATGAACAGCAGGTTAAAAATCACAGCTGATGGGAAACAGAGTGAAAGCTCTGATCAAAGAATGATCCACGGGGATGTAAAGCAATTAGAAACATTAGTTGATGGCTTGTTCCTGGGGCTGCTTGTACCGAAGCCATGGGGTTTGTTGGCACTGTGGTGAGATGAATCAGAGAAGCTTCTCAGTGCTAGTATATTTATGGGGACAAGGTGTCTTCACTCAGGTGCTGGGTATTTTTCAACCTCCCTCTTCCCAATGGCATTTCCACACCAACAATCTCTCTGGGTATTTGTTAAAACACTGCTCTGGATGACACAGATTTCTCACATCCAAGCAGGAGCACCTTGAATTAAGAGTTGTGGCAAAACCCTGGTCATCACCAGACTATGGCTGTGGTTTGAATTAAGTGATTTCTGCACATTGAGTCAAAAAGAAGTCACAGGGTTGGTTGTATTAAATCCAAAGGAGTGATTCTCTCTTACCAGGAGCAGTAACTGGGATTGAATGGGAAAATGTTCATTGCCAGCAGAACAAACGCGTTCTGCAGGGCTTGTGCCGGCTCAGCCACTCACTCTTCCCCAGTCTCTGCTTCCTGGCCAGACTGGGCTCCGTTATGTTGTTTCTTCAGCCCCATCTGTCCTATTTTTTCCCTTTTTATACGGTTCCTCCATTATTGATGATCGGGTGGCTCTGCCATTGCAGCTCACGGGGTCTTGAAGCAGCTGGTGCTGCTGGTCAAACCCTTTTCCTCACACCCTTGGGATTGCTGGGGCATGAGGCAGGGATTTCTGGATGCAGTGCCAGGGCTTAGATCCCATCTCGTCCCGACTGCTGCTTTCCCACTCCAGGAGCCAAGCTCATCCCTGGGACTGGGGGCAGCTTCCTTGGGCAGGCCCGGAGTGTGTGGGGAGCCTCTGGGTTATGTGGTTGCTCTGCAGTGAGGCCAGAGCCACCCCTCTTAATTTTTTTTCCCAGCAAAAGCAGGCAGCAGCGGGCAAAACTCCAAAGGGAATGTAGAAATTGGGGTGAAAAGGGTCTGAGCATCAGGGCAGGGGGTGGCGAGCGAGCAGCCACGTGTGTACGTGTCAGGGTTAGAAATCGCTGCTCCGCTGGGCACGCCGGAGGAGACGGAAAAAGACGCAGAGAAAAATCAGTTACCGCCGCGTTTTCCAAAATCCCGAGCGAGCGTTCCTGCTCGCCGGCGCTTCCAAGAAACGGAGAGAACCGAGGAGGAAAATTGCGGTGATTCATCGCGGGCAGATCGGAGGCAGGAAATGGGAGTTTGCTGCCTGCCCCGTGCCCGCCGTGGGCTCCGTGGGCTCCCTGGGCTCGGGCTCGCCGCGGCCTGGCTGGCGGCGAGGGCCTGACACCCACGGGTCGAGCATCCCTGCGCCGCGGCCGGAGCTGCCGGAGGAGCCGCCGGCGAAGGGAAAACAACCGGCGGGGGCCGAGAGACGGAGCAGCGGGAATTTTTCACCTGCGTTTCTCTGGAGACATCCGAGCGAGAGCTGCCCGTGAGCCGGGGGGGTCCAGCGGGATGGGGGGGTCCCGGGGGATGCTTGGTGCCTGGTGTCACACATCACCTAAATCTGGGGGGTCCGCATCCCTCCCTTGGGGACCCCCAGAGTGGCCGGTGGGCTGAGGGGGGTCCATTGAAAAATTAAGCGTGGGAAAAGGGGGGCGGGGCTTGGGGGCTGCCTGTCCGCGGATTGGCTGGGGGAGGGGGGAGACCCCCCAAATTGTGCCGGGAAGGAGAGGGAACAACCCGCGCTTGTGACGGGGAGACAGCACCGCAGGGACCCCTCCCCACCACCATTAAGATGTGCCTGGGGCAGCCGGACCCCCTCCCCCTTTTCAGGCGTTCGCAGCCAGGCGGCTGCGGCGGGGTCTCTGTGACGCGAGGTGCGCAGCTCAGCCCGCCCGAGGGCGATGCAGCACGAGCCCCCTTTGGGTGGCTGAAGAAGGGTCCGGCGCACTCCTCTGTGGCTGCTCTAGACCAAAAAGCACCCCCAAATCTGCTGCCCTCATCGCTGGTGTTGTGGGATCACCCTTGGAGAGCCCCAGGGGTCTCGGTGCTGTGGCGGGCAGGAAGTGGGGTGGAGGATGGGAGGGGGAGGATGTGGGGGGGGTCCCCAAAACCTTGCTGGAGTTCGGGCAGTGGGACTGCATGCACCTCACTTGGGGTCCACAGTTTCTGTTCGGCATGCAGGGATTGCTTGGGTTTCATTTGGGGATGGAATGTGGGCACTGCATCCATCACCGTCGGGATCAGGATGTGGGGGACTGTGCACGCTGCTTGGAGTGGGGACATGGGACTGGAGCTCAGGAGCAGATGGGGACCCTCACATCACCCTTGTGGTCAGGATGCTGCAACCCTTGTGTTGGGGTTGGGAATATTTTACTGGGGCTGGGACCTGGGGACATCTGCATTGGCGTCAGGACTTGGGGAGCTCCGTGCAGGGACCGCAGCAGCTCCCCAGGGCTCAGCGCGCTGGAAACAGCGGCCAGGGGAAGCAGGTTGTGTCTGTCCCTTCCCTCCTCGCAGGGACAGTGACCGGGGGCCGGAGCCAGGTTCCCCGTGCTTGCTCCAGCACTACCACCCTGGAGGGCTCTGGATAACTCAGATGTGGTATTGGAGTTGCTTAACCCCATCCTGATCCAGCCTTCACCCCCAAACCCTGCTGCCATGAAGAAGAAGCCGGGCAATGGGCGGGGACAGGACCCTGCAGCCCCCCAGCAGCGAGTCCGGTCTGTCACCAAGCCAGCGGAGGTGATTTACCCATGGCAGGGGGTGTGACACCCCGAGATGAGATTTGGGTGTCATTGCATCCTGATGACTCCCTAAACCATCATCTCAGTGTGGGCCTGCTGCCCTTGGGGGGGCATGGTGGGGGTTGTTGCTGACACACAGGTGGGGTTCTTGCTCCCCCCAGTACGTGGGATCCTTCATAGTGGAGGAGCTGGACCTGCAGCAGCGAGCGGGGCAGTTGGAGGAGCAGCTGTGGGCGCTGAAGGTCAGAATCTACCACTGCTCCCCTCGCTGGGAAACACAGGAGACCCCAAATAACCAGGGCACCCACAGGAGGCACAGCCCAGATCCCCAATGGCACTTTTACCCCGACAGGACTGTCCCAGGAGGAGGCCGGTGGTGCTGAGGTTCAGCTTGCAGGGCCTGAAGGTCTACAGTGCTGATGGGGAGGTAGGGGGCTGAGGGGGTCAAGGGGGATAGAGACAGGTTGTTTGGGCTCAGGGGGGCTGAGTAGGGAAGTCGGGTGTTGCAGGGGTGTTGGGAGGGTCAGGGATGCTGGGAGGGGTCAGGGGTGCTGGGAGGGGTCAGGGGTGCTGGTGAGGAGTGTCAGGGTCTGAGGAGTTGGGGTTGCTGGGGTTGGCAGGTCACGGGCGCTAGGGAGCAGGGTCAGGAATGCTGGGGAGGTGTCAGTGTGGCTGGAAAGGTGCCTGGGGGGGGGCTGTACTTCTCTGAGCATTGCTTTTCTCTTGAGAAGCTGTTTCGTGTGTGCAAACAGGGGTCCCGCTGTGGGGCCCCGGGGTGCTGGGTGCCCCTGACCCTCTCCCCATCCTGCAGACGCTGCTCATGGCACACGCGGTGCGCCGGATCCTGTACAGCACCTGGAGGCTCCCCGACCGCCAGTTCGCCTTCGTGGCCCGCAACCCCCACAGCCCCCCCAGCACCCTCTTCTGTCACCTCTTCGTGGGGCTCCCGGGAGAGGTGGTGACCCAACCCCCCCACGTCCCCAAAACACCATCACTATTATTATTTTTAATATTTACATTTTGCCTCCCCCAGGTCCAGACCCTGCACCTCCTCCTCTGCCGCTCCTTCCAGCTCTGCTACCTCCTGGCGCACCCCGAGGAGCAGGCGGCCGAGGGGGAGCTCCCGGGGCCGGGGGTGCTGCGGGAGCCCCTCAACCCCGAGGAGGTGTCACGAAATGTCAACGCCCTCGTGTCCTTCCGGCGCCTGCCCGCGCCCGGCGGCCTCGGCCCGCTGGGCACCGGGGTAGGTGCCCCTGCCCTGCCCTCCCCAGGCTGCTGCTCCTTTGCTCGTCTGTGTGCACGGTGTTCTCACACCTGCGATTCTCACACCTGCGATTCTCACACCTGCGATTCTCACACGCTGTCTCCTTGCTGGGCACTTGGCACGAGTGCTCTGGCACAGCCCGTTGTGTGCAGGGCTCGCTTGGCTTTTCCTCTGCAGAGCCTTCACAGAATATTCTGAGCTGGAAAGGACCCACGAGGTTCACCAAAGTCCAGCTCCTGGCCCTGCAGGACAGCCCCATTTCTTTCACAGCACTCTGTGTATGGTGCTTTTAGCAGAGGGGTTTTTTGTGCAGTGTGTTCCTAGGCAGCTCTTGTGCGGCCTTTTCTTGAATTTGAGCAGCACATTGTCACATCACACACCACCGGTGTCTTGCGTGGTGTTTCCTCCTCGTGGAGCCTTTCTTTGCACGTGGGTGTGTGTGCAGAGTTTTGCACCTTTTCCTGCACGGTATTTTGAGGCTCACACTTTGCAGGGCCCTTCCTTGAGGGCCTTTCCTGCCTGGCGTTTGGCGTTGGCCAATTTGCACCACTATTATTTACACAGTGATTTTACAGGAGGTTTTACAGGAGTGCATTTTTTCCTTGGTGTTTTTTCACAGCACTCTCTTTCCATGATATATTTTTGTATAACTTTTTTTACACAGCATTATTTCTTATAACTTTTTCACATGGCACTTTTTGCACGGTGGCTTGCATAGCTCTTTCGGCGTGGCATTCCTTGCTGAGCATTTTTACTGGTTTTCATTTTGATATTTTAACATTTTTCACAGCTCTTTTTGCACTGTGTTTTTGCACAGCACGGTGATTTTGTGCATGGCATTTTTCCACGGTGTTCTGCATGGCATTTCTTCTGCACACCATGTTCTGCACTGCATGTTTTGCACTGCATTTTCTCCAAGGTGTTTTGCACTACTTTTTTTTTTTTTGGTGGCATAGTGTTTTGCATAGCTTTTTTGGTGTCTCATCTTTTGGACAGCATTTTTCTGGGTGGTGTTGTGACATTCCCCACAGGCAGAGCCCCCCGGGCACTCTCACAGCCTGTCCATCCCCCAGGACCGGCGGCAGGAGGCGGAGGGCAGAGCCTGGCGCCCGGGGAATCCCTACTGCTCCCCGGTGCTGGTGCGCAAGAAAGCCATTCGGAGCAAAGTGCTGCGCTCGGGAGCCTACCGGGACTGCGGGGCCGAGGGACAGCTCCACCAGCAGCCCCGCGACGCCGGTGAGTGCCGGGGGGAAATTGAGGCACGGGGATACACAGCACCCCATGGGTGTTTGGGAGCGAAGAGGGGAATAATGGGCTCCCGCAGCGGCGGCAGGAGGGGAAAGCAAAGGGACGAGGAGTTTGGCCTTCCTGCCCGAAAACGAGAGCGTCCTCGCCGAGAGCGTGTGGTCCTTCGCCGGCATCGCCAGGTGAGAGTGTGTGTGTGAGTGAGTGTGTAAGTGTGAGTGTGTGTATGTGTGTGGTGTGAGTGTGAGCGTGTGTGTGAGCACTGCGTGTGTGTGTGTGCAGTGTGTGTGTGTGTGTGTGTGTGTGTGCGCGTGCGTGTGCACTGTGTGTGTGTGTGCACTGTGTGTGTGTGTGTGTCTGTGTGTGTGTGTGCAGTGTGTGTGTGCAGTGTGTGTGTCTGTGTGTGTGTGCACT